CCCTGTCTCTGTTCAAAGATAGCATCTAGGATGTGACATTGCATGGGACAGCTGTGGGGACTTAAGAGACTGCATGAACACCAGAAAAAGACAACATGAGCTGTGTGTGAACTCCAGAACAAAACTGCTCACACTGGGAAGAGGTCAAAGGTCACTGACCAGGAGTCAGTAGCCATGTTTCCATCCAAATGTGTTGCAAATTTTAACTGAATTTCAGGTTATTCAGCAAAAGAAAATGTGAATGAACGCTTGTTTCCATCCACTACCATTTTGCAAATATTAAGAGTTGGTTCACAAGATAAGAAGTAGGTGGTGCCAATTCTCCTGTCGGAAAACCAGAAGAAGAGGATGCAACAAGATGACAAAATGAAAAGCGCAGCAGAAGGCAGAAAAAGTGTGACGTTGTGACTTAAATGTTCGCTGGAAAAAGTGTTTCCATCTTCCATTAAGAGCATTAACTCTTTTTCCAATTAATTACATTGTTTTTTTATTTTGCAATTTCCATCAAACTTTTCTAATGCGATAGTTCAAAATTCACATCAAAACACGGCTTGTGTTCTCCATCTCTCCCCACATATACGACATCTACACATAAAAGAAGTTCCATACTTGATAAATCCATCACTTTAAGCACAGATAATAATAATTTCATGTATGGGGATCATTGTAGCAAATTATATTTCACAATATGATATATTTAACAAATTAACTTATAAGTTATAATTTAAAGATGATAAATTAACAAATAAATGCAATTATTCATGCATGTCAGTTTTTCTCTTTGTAATGTTTCAGAGCAGAAGTATGTTGAAAAAGAATCAACCTAAACAAGTAAGGCACAAATAATCGACTCCAGTATCTGAATAAATGTCCTTAGTATCCACTGCTGAAGAAAATACAACTGAAATATCCGACCCTAGGGAGAATTGCAGGTCAAGATCTCTGGCAAATTTACAATACTAAAGCAGTGCCCTGTTTGGAACACACCAAGAAGTTCTCAAGAACTGCTCATGCAATCGACTTCACACTCAACAGTGCATTTGCCTTGATCCACAGGAATATAGTGTGAAGTCAATCTAATGAACGGTTCTTTCAGACAGACAGGCTCCTTGCTTTATAGTTAGATATACAGTATGTAATTAAATTACATCAATCATCAGGGATGTCAGTGGTAAAACAAAGTATCGACCTGATGTATTGGTCTGACAGTATATTTTTTGACAATAAATGCAGTAAGTGTCTTTTAGGGCACAGTGAGCGAGTGTATGGTGTCTTTTTTCTTTATCCTGCAGTAACTATGTCTCTTGACAGTAACAGTTACAGCTTGTGACAAACTCTCCACAGTGACTGTAAAACACTCCCAGTAATGCTGACTGTACCATGTCTTCTCCTCTCGCTGGACTCCCCCTTTCTGCCATCACTGTCTATACACTCCCATACCTTCCCAGCATGCTCTAGTCTTATTGGCCCTGACAGCTTGAAGGCTCCTCAACTAGAGACAAGTGGTGGTGCAGTTAACTATAATAGTGTGTAGTGTGTGGACATCCTCAGCACTGCCTGTCTGTAGTGTGTGTATGTGTTTGCAGTTTGCTGAAATGCAGCTGAAATATAGTTAATTTGTCAGTGACATGCAACCACCAACCTGTCCCTGCTGTGTGTGTGTGTGTGTGTGTGTGTGTATGTATAGTTCATGCATGCATTTGCTCACTTGATCTTGAGCGAAGGCCTAAGAGACTGACTAAAATCCCTTTTGAGTGAAATCTAACTGTTCTCTCATCCTGTATCTTCTGGATCTCATTAACTTTCTTGTTTTATGCATTTTAAAATTTTAAAGTTTTTATTGCGAGCAGAGGCGGGGTACTTTTTTACTTTTTTATGTTTTAGGTTTCATGTTGTGTGAAGTGCGGTGTCAAAGGAACTTAAGAAAGACAGTTGAGAGTGAGCAAGAGAGGTTTCACTCTCAGTTTCCTGCATGCTTCCCGGCGTACCACCCACCACTACAAAAGCATCTGGGCTGAGCTGAGTGCAGCAAGCGAACTCCCTCTCAGCTAACTATCTCCCAACCATGAAACCTTCAAAGGAGAATAGCACACTGGGGATTGGCAGCTAAAATAATCAATAAATTATAAGATGGCGGTTTTAATTTTAGGTTTCACTGTCTGCATCCCATTGCATTCTAAGGGCAAATTTAGTCCACAGCTGCGTCTTTATCCCATGGCCACTTTAAAAATAATCTGTTGTCAGTCAAACTGACACTGACACACAGACCTGCTGCTCGTTGTGCATCCATGACACAGACAGACAAACAGACATACAGGGAGCAGAGGACAGAGATACATGGAGAGAGACCCTAACCTCAGTTTGAAAATGACTGTTATAGAAGCCCAAACACCCTTCACACTGCCCAAAGACTGATGCACAGAAACCGGCAGAGGGCCGCAGGGATACAGACACTGCCACATACTTGCGTTATAAGTGCAGATTGAGAGGAATTATGTTTGTATGAATCTATACTATGTTTTTTTTATGAAAATCTTCCCTAGTATGCCTAGGATTTCATTATTTTGTGACTGCAAAAATTAAATACAATTTAAAATCAACCAAAATCAAGCATCAATCTCAACAATCCATGTATTTTGTACAGTAACTGGGGAAGAAGGCATTCAATCCCAATTTTTAAGTTACCAAAACTGAATCTGTAGGCAGAGGTGGGAACTAACAAAAAAAATTACAATACATTTTTTCAGGTATCTGCACTTTTCTCTTGCAACTTTTCACTTTTCCTCCCTACATTTTACACACATATCTGTACTTTCTGCTCCTTACATTTTCAAAACAGACTTGTTACTTTAGTTTATTATTATTATTTTTATTTTGCATCATTGCACGCTTTCCAAACACAAAACCAGTGCATATCACACATGATTAGGGTTGGGAATTGTTGATTTATATGGATATTAATACCATTTCTGACAGACTGCTTAACAATCCAAGGCTTTATCGATATCGCTATGGATACTTTACATTAATCTGATGCGAAGACGAGGTGACAGTAAATTCCTAACAGAACTGGTTTCGCTTTTATTGCTTAATTGCTGTTGGCAGGCAATTCAATTGAATTCAGTTTAGTCAATATATCGATTAATTAAGTAATCGATTATTCCATCGATTAATCGAGTGATCAGATAGGAAATACTTTATTAATGCTTTATTACAGCAATAGTAGAAATAGAGCAGTAATAAATATACAATAGGGAAAATAAGACAGGTCTTTCACGTTAGTTTCAGAGTTTTCTTGAGGATTTATTTTCAGCAGTGGAGTAAAGTCTTCTGTTGTACCCACACTGTGCTGGTAGCTGTGTGTTACCAGCTGAGCCTTCCCCTTTAAGGAAGGTGGGCTAACCTGTGCTGGTTTGTTGTGGGAAGTGAGTCTTTCCCCGTGTGTGAGGGGTAGTAACGTTAACGTCAGCCATAAAGTGTGTAGTTAAGTTCAGGTTGCAGTATAACAGCTAGTGTGTTGTGTTTGCTGCCACAGAAAAGAAATAAAGCTCCCTGTTTATGTAATGTTAACGTTCCTACAATGTGTTGTCTTGTTCTGTTCACAGCTGAGTTGGTCCAGACTGTGGACAGATAGTTAGCTATCTAGCAGATAGGAATCAGGTTAAAGACAATTAAAATTGTCTAAATTGGAGGTAAAATGTTTCAGAGGTGAATGATCATGACTGATTGTGTTTTCTCTTATGATTTTATCCGGACATAAATAATGACTTGTAGCTGCTAACTAGAGTTTCACAGTGAGGCACTAAGGTCATGCAATTGAGCGGGGCTAGTTCGCCCTTACAACAGAGTTTTTGTTTCTGTTTTTCTGGCCTGTCTCTCCTCTTTGCCACTCACTTTCTTCTCTCTCTAAGCACATTTTGCATCAGTGTGTATTCTTCCATTTTCTGAAGACAGCCATGGAGTATATTTATAATTCAGTTATTCAATTATCAGTTCAGTTATGAACAATGTTCATAGAGCTTTTTAAGAGTACATTTCAAGCAAAACTGAAGCCTTTATCATCACATCTAAATTGTTACTATAAATGCAACTGTTTAAAGAATTCCTTGTCCACCTTTTACTAGCTGTTCATTTAAACTTTGATTGTATGTTTTGATCATGATTATTTAATGCTTGCCAATTTCAAGACTAAGGAATCAAAAGAAGACTTATCTAGCTATGAATGAGGCATGAACACACCAGGACACAACAAACAAATACGGGATCGATTCATTTCAAATATTAAAAGACTTGGTTTATACTTGTAATTGTGTAGATGACCAGATTATTTTGAAAATAAAGATTTTTTCAAGGAATATATTCAAACTCAGACTAACTTTGAAGATGCAATGGTTAAAATTAAGCATTCCAAACTTTCAAGAGTTTGTATGAACCCTGTACAAAGAAATTGGTTTAATGTTTTCTCGAAAGTGTGAGTGAGAAAAAGAAAACCCTTGGAAAATTACATTAACCATCAGACCAGATCAGTCAAGTCCCCTAACTGTTTTAACCTTCAGTAATGTCAGTATAAAGTGCAGACTCACTGTTACTGTGTTGGCTGTGAGGGCGGGGGTGTTGCTGTCGTTTCCCGGCTGTTCGCTCTGTGTGTGCGTCTGCGTGTAGAGCGTCAGGGCGTGCTCGGCCACCGTGCTTGGTCCCGTGTAGTCGGCCGGTGGGTGGGTGTGGGGCGTGGCGTACTCGGCTGGGATCCCATTCTGTGGTGGAGGGGGGTACTGGGCTGGTGGGAAGGGTTGGGCCATGGCTTCAGGGGGAGCTGGGGCTTCTTGGTTGCCCTGCAAAGACAAAGACAGGGACAGAGGAAAAGACAGGAAGAAAAGCAACAGGTTACTAAAGGCTGATTTTCTAGTGACTGCTTTAGTTGTCTGAGTTGTGGTGCAGCTTGTCAAATCTATCTGAAGGGAAAATTTAGAATGTAAACCGAACATTGCATAGCAATTTCTACAATTAGAACAATATTGGCTTTGATAGACAGTGAAGCCAATGTTTCTCACCATTTGACTGCAGTCTGAGGCAGCTTTTTACCAAGAAAAGATATGGAGGCGCCTGTCCACATTTTGAGTGAATAATGGCAGGTTTACCCCAGACTTATGTTCTGAAATGGTCAAAGCTTTCTAAAAAAAAATTCTGCAATTGTGCTTCCAATCAGTTGACCAGACCCCCAACATTATGAATTAATTGAGCCTCTCAGGCTGTGGTTGGGGTTTAGGCTTTAGTATTCCTACGACTAAGTGCTTGTCAGATTATCTAAGAGCATCTGACACATTTTTTCTCATGGCAGAATCAGAGAGCTGAGTTCTGAAGCTGAGCTGAATTTTTGGAACTTTTGGAACTTTCGGAAACAGACAATTCAACAATCCTGCTCTCGTTGTGTAGAGATTGGCCAGATGAGGTGTCAAGTTTGGAAGTTCTCTCTTCTCAAACAATCTTTTCCAATTTTTCACATGACAACTATTGTCACTTTTCATGTGTACAACTGAGCGCAACATGACGAGAAAGCATGCAACATTAGACCATTTGTATAATTCATTGTGTCAAGCTGTTTGACTAGTTTGTTTGAAGCATACTGAGACCTTTAGGTTGTACCCATCCCAGTGAAATAAGTGGGATTACTAGCAGCCAGACTGGAAGATTTGCTTTGCTGACATTGTTTCACTCCAGGCAGAAAACAGCCTTGCAGGATAGGTATAATTAATCATATTCTGCTGCTTAACTATGGTTCTCTTCATTTTACTATTATAGAAAAAAGCCAGGAGCCAGATGTATGAACAATACATACGCACAAAAACCATGCATGTGCCATTTCTCACATATAAAATGGTATTTGCATTTGTTCGTACACACCGTTTTACACAGGTACAGAACTGTACTGCAGCCGGGAGGCTTCTATCTCCTGAGAGCGGATCACGACACAGAACTCTCAGGACAAACAGAAGGTGGAGGAATCTGTTTCTACTCCAACAGCAGCTGGTGTAATGATGTGACAGTGATCCTGCAGCTCTGTTGCCCTGATCCAGAATCATTTTTCATTAATGATTCCAGTTCATTTCGTTCATACGGGTTGGTGTTAACATTCCTAACATGTTGGACTCCTTAGTTATTGTCCTCAGTGACTTTAACAAAGGTAATCACAACCATGAACTTCCCAAATACAGTTTATCAAATGTCTGACCAGGGAGGAGATTATTCTGGATCACTACACTACAACCAACAGTGCCTATCACGCTGTCCCCCACGCCACACTGGGCCACTCTGACCACTTCATGGTCCATCTAATCCCTGCACACAGGCAGAAATTAAAGTGGAACAGTGAAGCTGTGGAGGATCTTGTACTGACTGGGGGGCTTTCAGGACAGTCTGGATGACTTCGCAGAGGGTTAGGCTTCTGTGGAGACTGCTACCATCACGCACCAGGGTGAGTTATAACAATGACAAACCCTTCTTTACAGCTAAGACAGTTAAAGTTGGTAAAGGAAGAGGCATTTAGGAGTGGGGACAAGGACAGGTTTAGTAAGGGGACTGGACACTAACGTGTCTAAGGTGATCCGATCACAAGTGGACAGCTCTCAGTACGTCAGTTCACACCTGGCATTAGGATGCGTCTCCATGCGGGATCCTTTATATTTCTTTCTTATTTTATTGTGTATTTTCTGTTTATGCTTCTTGACTTGCAGTACTTGCTTTTTATCTTTCTTTATATTTTCTACTTACAAAGATTTTTGTACCAAAACACAGAGGTAAATTTTTTTGTGTGTGAAAACCTACTTGGCACTACACAACTATTTACATAGAGTCTTGAGCATCTAGCCCCAGGCCTTTATACTGGAGGATGGTGGGGATATGATTGGCAGTTAAATTCGACAAAGATGTTTTACGTGGGGACATGAGACAGACTGGGATGTGACAGGAACAAGGGAGAATAGGTGAGGGAAAGTGATAATTTGTGTGTTTTCATGAGTCAGAATAACAGCCACTGTTTAGTCATAAAATCCGATGACGAGACTGGGAGATGACACAGGGAATCATCAAAATACCCATCTGTCCGTCAATAAACATCAAAAGACACAATCAAATACAAATACAACATGTGGCCTTGTGTGAGAGGGAGTGTATCCTTTGTACATGGCGAGAGAATATTGGCTTTATTTGCGGAACAGAAGTCTGTTTGATCGCAACATAAACCACCTCACCCACGCTGAAATTTCTCCGTGGATGTTCACCAAACGCACAAACACACAGGGAAAGACAAACACGTAGACCAAAGCAAAGTGATGCAAATTACATCTTATAGAGATGAAAAAGATCAATTAACTGATACTCTTTTGACAACCTCTGTTTTGAAATCCATGTTTCTAATAAAAGCTGGCATTTTCCCTCTCTCCACTTTTCTCCACTTATTCCTCACATGCTTGAGCTGCTGCGATTCCCTTTCTTTCCCCCGTTAAGGTGAGTATCATGCTCTTTCACCCCTGTCCGGGCTCTCCCTCTCATTTACATGCCTGTCAGATAATCATTTCCTCAAACCGATGATGATGAATCCATCTGACATATTAGCGCCCTGCTTTTCTACCGCACTGCTCCAAAACTTGATAGAAAATGGCTTAAAAATGTAAAAATCAATCACAGCAACTTTTTGAGGTGGGATGAGGCTCTGACCTTAGCTGTTTCCAATAGTGGTATTGAAGTTGGCTATTCTTATGCATGAAGATTGATGGTGTTGAGCATAACAAAGCAGTTTGCCGATGGCTCACTGACTGTAGCCACATCGTTCCTGGCAGAGAGTCATCGTCGACTCCCCAGGCAGAGAGGCGTTATGCTCAATTTAGGGTTTACTTAGGCTCACTTCACACACAAATGAAGAAAAATATAAATCTCCAGCAGCAAACGAGTCAAGTCATCAATAATGAATACACACTTTGTTGTGCTTGTTAGATTTGGATACAAGTAATGCTTTTTTAAACGCTTTGTGATGTCCTAACAGCTGAAATGTGCACAGTACAAATACACACACATACACAGATTCACACTTAACAGCTCTTTTCAAGCTTTACTGACAATTTCAGCCTGTAGTTATTTTGTATTTAATGTCCTTTCTCTTAGTTCAGCCTGTAAATTTGAATGATATTTTAAATCACCACTTATGAAGCGCTTGCTTTTTTGTGGCAATATTTGACGTGTAAAAAGTGTTATTGATATCTTTCCTGCTTAGATCTTCCAGTTTATTACCGCTTTGCCTTGTTTTCATACTTTTGCCCATGTTAGGGGTAGGTGATATGGTCCTAAAAATAAAATTGTTGTATTGGCAGCTTTTGTTGTTAGTCTTCTTGCTCTTCTTACATATGACTGTGGTTTGTTGTACATCTGATCCTTTGTAACCAAACCAAACCATGCTTCTGAAGTCGCTCCCCTTTTTGGAACTCCACCATAATCAGCAGGCTTGTTACACAGAACCATCTGGGAAGTAAGGCAGAAAAAGGGCAGGAAGATACTTGGCAGCTGATTGGATGAACCAACTGTCTATCAGCATCTATGCTAACCTTTATGGGACCACCATTGTTGTTTAACGAACAGTGCCTTATCGTTGGTCACACCAAGTGCCCGCCTCCGTAGCTGCCAGTACTTCCTCAAAGGACACTGATGGTTTGGTAACACTGTAGTTTGGGCACAAACACACGGATTGAAGCTTGGCAAGGATTCTCATCTGACTCACAAAGTTACCTCCATTGTGGAGCAATGTTACAGTCGCTTTCAGCAATGCTTGTCGCTGCTGTGCATAAGGGTATATCATCATTATGGCATCAAGTTTGAATATTGCCATTATCATGATATGAAGGTATAAATTATTTTTAAATTATATTAAAAATGATACTGATACTACAGTGAATAATACGATATGACACACCCCTAGTTCATGTAATTCCGTTGGTTCTGCTAACACTGTATTCACCAAAGTCATTGCTGGGATATCTGAGATCACAGTGACATTGTTACAACAAAGTCAAGACAAGTCAAGAATCGAACAGCACTGTCAGTTTAAAAATAATATAATCAAACCGTTTCACTTGCATCCAGAAGTGACTGCCACCAGATTTCCAGTGCAAGATTAAGAGCTGTCTGCCTGTCTAGTCTCTGTTCAACTAGGTTCTGTATCTCAATACAACCAAACTGGCTCTAGATAAGGTCTTTCA